TAACCGACTATTTTGGCATATATGACTACTATCACGATCCTTACTATGAAATCGAACACCATTGGAAATGCAAGCTGAATACAAATTAACATTCACACTAGGACCATTTGCTAATGACCACAAATCATCAGTTGCTTCTGGTAATCCTTGAGCTCGTAATTGGTTCATCTACATAACGACATCAATTTCAATCATTATGTTAGTATTCATATAAGTGTAGCTGAATAAAGTTTGGGATTATATCTTACATGTTCTTTGAACCACTTGGGGAATTACTTTTTCTGTCTATTTGTGATGTCACGTACACCTTCATTTTCTAAAAGATTCTTATGTTGCCTACTTACAAACATATGATTCATAAGTAACATATTATATTGAAAACATAATTCTACAAAAAAAAAAAAAAAAAAAAAAAATATTAAGAACGTACTCTAGATAATGGTCAAGCTCGAGGCTATTATTCAAGACAAACCAATGAGCCATTTCACATTCTTTTTGAGACATGTTAGAAACCCTTGTAATTAGCCCAAAATGACGAACATTTTGCGCGAAGACCTCTAACCCCGACTCATGCACACTAACATCGACATTCCGTTCCTCGCGATTAAATACAGTTTCAATCCCACCCAGATACATTGAGCAAAATGTGAGACACTCCTTGACAACATAAGCTTCTATGATCGAACCTTCTGGACGAGCTCGATTTGCAACATATCCTTTTAAAGTTCCAAGTAGCCTATGAAACAAACAATAGAATAATCTTATTACACACACACTCACATTTTTATAAATATATATACAGGTTGTGCTACAATTTAAGTATTCTAGTGTTTTAATAAGTTAGTAAGTACCTTTCAATTGGGTACATCCACCGATATTTCACAGGCCCACCAAGAATGGCTTCACGCGGCAAATGAATCGCCAAATGGACCATCACATCAAAAAACGCTGGTGGAAAAAAATTTTCTAACTTGTATAGTATGAATATTATGCGATCTTCTTATATTTCCAAATTCTTCATCTTCAATGTCTTCGACCAAAGCTCTTGGAAGAAATTTCCAACCTCAAATAATGCGACACAAATATCATTGTGAAGATATCCACGCATTCCAATGAGAAGAAGTCGCTGTATGAGGACATCACAATCATGACTTTTTAGGCCTATTAACTTATCACCTTTTGTGTTCACACATCTTGAGATGTTTGCTGCATAACCATCAGGATACTTAATTGACTTTAAAAACTCACAAAAACCATATCTTTCATCTGAGAACAAAGTATACAATGCTGGGGGCTTTTCAAAAGACCCATCAACATGCCTTTTTAAGTGCAACTCCTTCCTTATTTTCATATCTTCCAAATCCATGCGTGCTTTTTCTGTGTCTTTGTTCTTCCCATCTATACTCAGTAATGTTCCAAGCAAACTATCACATATATTCTTCTCTATGTGCATAACATCGAGGTTGTGTCGGAGTTTAAGTGTTTTCCAATAGGGCAACTCAAAGAGGATGCTTTTTTTTGTCCAGTTCAATACTGGATTTTCCTTTTTTCTTTTCTTATTGGTTGGATGCTTTCCAAATGGTTTGAAAGTCCCTGAATCCAATTGTTCTAAGATTTGTTCCCCTGATAACTCTAAAGGTCTTGACAAGAACTCAGTCTTACCATTATAAAATCGACTCCTCCGCCAAGGGTGGTCATCAGGCAGGTAACGACGAGCGCCTGTGTACCCTATCTTGCCTCTCAACCGTTGTGAGGAAGCATTTTTGTTACAAGTGGGACAAGCCAAATAACCTTTCGTACTCCATCCTGACAAGTTTCCATATTCAGGAAAGTCATTAATTGTCCACATAACAGCTGCATGCATTTGAAAACTTAATTCAGTTGAGGCATCATAAGTAAGCACACCATCTTCCCACAACTCCTTTAACTCATCAATTAATGGGCGCATGTTAACATCGATATCTCTCCCTGGTGCTTGTGGTCCAGGGATAAGCAATGACAGCATACTAAATGCTTGTTTCATACATTTCCAAGGAGGCAAGTTGTAAGGCATAACAATCACAGGCCACATACTGTACGAGTTGCTCATGTTTCCAAAAGGATTGAAACCATCAGTGGCCAACCCTAACCTCACATTTCGACTCTCTTGGGAAAACAAAGGATGTTGCCTATCAAAATCCTTCCATGCCTCACCATCAGCCGGGTGTCTCAATATCCCATCATCTACTCGTTTCTCTTTATGCCATCTCATATCTATTGCTGTTTTTCTCGACATATATAATCTCTGCAACCTTGATGTCAACGGGAAGTATCTTAAGGTCTTGTGAGGAACTTTTTTACCTTTTCCATAATTCGACTTGTATCTAGACTCTTAACAAATCAGACAATTCTCTAAATTTGCATTCTCTTTCCAGAAAAGTGCACAATCATACTTGCATGCATGAATCGACACATATCCTAAGCCTAAGGCACGTAAGAATTTTTTTGCTTCATAAAGGGTCCATAGAATCACTTGATCACTTACCGGTAGAAGGTCCTTTGATATCCCCAACAACATGTTGAGAGACTTATTGCTCCACTTGTTCAACACCTTCACATGAAGCATCTTAACAACAAATGATAAAAGAGAAAACTTACGACACCCAGGGTACAACTCTCTTTGAGCATCATTCAACAATTTGTTAAAGTTGGGCACGCCCTCTTTTTCAACATTGTTAGCCACGTCATCGTCATTATCATTGTCATTGTCACCGTCCTCCTCATCCTCATCATTTTCATCATCATTTATGGTAGTCCCCATGTAAACATCTTCTAACAAATTTAGAATTTCATCTTGATCTTCACCTATCTCTGCTTCCATTCTATCCCCAACATTTCCAAAGTCATTGTGGTTGTCATCATTCAATGCATGAGATTGATTCATGGGAACAAATTCCCCATGATGCACCCAAGTCTTATAAGAAGGGGACATCCCTTTCACAACTAAATGATACTCCACAATTTTACAAGTATGTCATTCACAATTCAAACAGTCCATACATGGGCAACGAATCTTATCATTTGGCCCTACATTCATATTGCAAATTGAACAAAAGCCTTCACCCCATCTCGATACTGGGAACTCATCCTATTCTTAAGTAACATCCAACTCTTGTCCATATTTGGTCACCTACAAAGCCATGGTTATGTGAGATTCCTTTGAATTAGAGAATTTACAAGATTATGGTTCCATATCTTTTGGTGACCGACAAGATTATGGTTCCACATCCCTTTCATGACCAAATGATGCATCACAATAGTAAGTGATAAACAAGAATTACTATTCAAGTAAAATATGCAATTTAGAGTAAAGGGTGAAAAAAAATCATATAGTAAGTGATGAAATTGATATATAGATTACAATTGCTATATAAATTGTTGTCTTGAAATTGTTACATATTAGATTACTTATTCTTGGAAAAGCATATTCATCTATTTTAGCTATTTGACGTATTTCTTTATTGAGTTAGACATAAAATTGAGATTTTGAAACCAAATATAGCAGCCATCCCTAATCATCGCATTTGGTCTTCTAGTGTTTACATGTCAAATAGTTCCTTGAGTCATCTAAGTGTTTATCATATCATGAATGCTCAAAACATTAGGTAAACATTGAGAAATAATAAAAAAAATAATATTTTCTCTCAGAAAAGCCAAACCTTGAACCAATATGGCGAAATTAAAGAACAAAACAGCTCACAAATAGGGCCTACAAGGGTAGAATCATGAAATTCAGATTATGTTCTTGTGTGTACTTCTCTATGATGAGTATGTATATGTATTTTAATTATTTGTTTAATGGAAGTTGAAGTTTTTATAATTATTGTAATACATTTTTTTAATTTAACATTTAATTTAAAGATGCTGCATGTACACATGATCACATTGTATAGTATAAGAAACTATAAGTCAAATTATATGGTGATCTTCCACAAAGGAAAAAAAAAATTCTCTGTATTTTTACTCATGTATTGTAAATTACAATGGATGTAGAAGTAATTGTTTGGTAGAGAGATATATGCAGAGATATGGATACCAACATCCTATTGGCCTTGATGGCTGTTTTTCAATTTTCGATTGCTTTTGTTTTAAAAAGTATTTAAAATAAAATTATTTAAAGTGAAACTAAACAAAACCATTCTTAATGTTAGAGTTTAAATTTCCTTATTTTAAACTAAAAATCATACTTAACTACAAAAATGTATTAAGAATATTAAATTTTACATCTCAAACTTTGCATTCTGGTGCTTTAATAACCTAAGACTTTTGCTAATGCACCAATTAATGGCCTTTAATGTGAGGTTATTATCATTTGGTGCAACAAAAGGATACCCTTTTACAGCATCACCACAAACATAGTAGGGTGAGACTTACACATTTGATAGGTCTCACTGTGCACTTTGAATTTTGTATTAAAATTTAAATAGACAGTGTTTAGTTAAAATATATATAGTGTTTGGTGCAATTTATTGCATACTAAAAATAAAAACAAAAGTCAAAACAAAGTTCAAATGGTAATAAAATTTAATTAGTTTCATATTGATGCTCTTAGGCCTGTTTGGGACTTATATTTTGGCTAAATAGTCAATAGAAAAAAATAATTAATAAAACAAAATGTCATGTCCTATACATTAATCAACAACTTTTTCTTTTACAAATATCTATTCACCTACAAAAAAAAATAAAAAATAAAAAAATTCCACAAATCATCCAAAACATAATTTTTTTTCATTTCATAAAAAAATTAAAAAATCAACTAAAATAGTCAAGTTGCTAAATGACGTATCTAGTCCCATTTTTTTGACAACCAGACTTATTAAATTTAATAAGGTTATATAGTTTCAAGATCATCGGTGTAGAAACTAAAATGACTAACTTGATAAATAAATTAAAAATGCCCTAAAATATAGTCAAAGCTTTCTTAATGTAGTAATTGCCCCCAACGAATGATTGCAGCGTTTTTATCTCTTTGCATTAGCCAATAACCTATAACATTTGAATTGTAAATCAAAGTTTAAATTAAAATCGCACTATACATGAAATTAATGGAGAGTGGACATGAAATGAATGTTATATGATGAAATTATTAAAAGGGTCACTAATGAACAGTTAACTTAAACTTATATTTAAATATAATACTACAGATAATGACCAGTTAACCTAAATTTATATTTAAATATATCTTTGCAATCTCATTAATTTTTAGTCTTACCATCAAATAAAAATTAAGTTAGATTGCGATTTTTACCAAGATTTTAATTCAATTGTGCCTCTTCTAAGTTGAAATTCTGACTTTGCCACTGCTCACTACTCATGTTTATTTTCAATACAGTATTGAACCATGAAGTGGCACATTAATGTGGTATAAAAAAGTGACAAGTGTAGCATTCATTACTCACAAAATCAAACTCAGATATCTATGTTTGATTTTGTGAAAAATTTCTGTGCTCCTAAACTTTTTGGAGCAACAATGGTATGCCCTCATAAAAAGTAAATAAATCTGCACTTTTGGTGTGTTCACACACCTTGAGATGTTTGCTGCATAACCATCAGGATACTTAATTGACTTTAAAAACTCACAAAAACCATATCTTTCATCTGAGGACAAAGTGTACAATGCTGGGGGCTTTTCAAAAGATCCATCGGTACGCCTTTTTAAGTGCAACTCCTTCCTTATTTTCATATCTTCCAAATCCATGCGTGCTTTTTCTGTGTCTTTGTTCTTCCTATCTATACTCAGTAATGTTCCAAGCAAACTATCACATATATTCTTCTCTATGTGCATAACATCGAGGTTGTGTCGGAGTTTAAGTGTTTTCCAATATGGCAACTCAAAGAAGATGCTTTTTTTTGTCCAATTCAATACTGGATTTTCCCTTTTTCTTTTCTTATTGGTTGGATGCTTTCCAAATGGTTTGAATGTCCCTGAATCCAATTGTTCTAAGATTTGTTCCCCTGATAACTGTAAAGGTCTTGACAGGAACTCAGTCTTACCATTATAAAGTCGACTCCTTCGCCAAGGGTGGTCATCAGGCAGGTAACGACGAGCGCCTGTGTACCCTATCTTACCTCTCAACCGTTGTGAGGAAGCATTTTTGTTACAGGTGGGACAAGCCAAATACCCTTTCGTACTCCATCCTGACAAGTTTCCATATGCAGGAAAGTCATTAATTGTCCACATAACAGCTGCATGCATTTGAAAACTTAATTCAGTTGAGGCATCATAAGTAAGCACACCATCTTCCCACAACTCCTTCAACTCATCAATTAATGGTCGCATGTAAACATCGATATCTCTCCCTGGTGCTTGTGGTCCAGGGATAAGCAATGACAGCATACTAAATGCTTGTTTCATACATTTCCAAGGAGGCAAGTTGTAAGGCATAACAATCACAGGCCACATACTACATGAGTTGCTCATGTTTCTAAAATGATTGAAACCATTAGTGGCCAACCCTAACCTCACATTTCGACTCTCTTGGGAAAACAAAGGATGTTGCCTATCAAAATCCTTCCATGCCTCACCATCAGCCGGGTGTCTCAATATCCCATCATCTACTCGTTTCTCTTTATGCCATCTCATATCTATTGCTGTTTTTCTCGACATATATAATCTCTGCAACCTTGATGTCAACGGGAAGTATCTTAAGGTCTTGTGAGGAACTTTTTTACCTTTTCCATAATTCGACTTGTATCTAGACTCTTGACAAATCGGACAATTCTCTAAATTTGCATTCTCTTTCCAGAAAAGTGCACAATCATACTTGCATGCATGAATCGACACATATCCTAAGCCTAAGGCACGTAAGAATTTTTTGGCTTCATAAAGGGTCCATGGAATCACTTGATCACTTACCGGTAGATGGTCCTTTAATATCCCCAACAACATGTTGAAAGACTTATTGCTCCACTTGTTCAACACCTTCACATGAAGCATCTTAATAACAAATGATAAAAGAGAAAACTTACGACACCCAGGGTACAACTCTCTTTGAGCATCATTCAACAATTTGTTAAAGTTGGGCACGCCCTCTTTTTCAACATTGTTAGCCACATCATCGTCATTGTCATTGTCATTGTCACCTTCCTCCTCATCCTCTTCATTTTCATCATCATTTATGGTAGTCCCCATGTAAACATCTTCTAACAAATTTAGGATTTCATCTTGATCTTCGCCTGTCTCTGCTTCCATTCTATCCCCAACACTTCCAAAGTCATTGTGGTTGTCATTATTCAATGCATGAGATTGATTCATGGGAACAGATTCCCCGTGATGCACCCAAGTCTTATAAGAAGGGGACATCCCTTTCACAACTAAATGATACTCCACAATTTTACAAGTATGTCGTTCACAATTCAAACAGTCCATACATGGGCAACGAATCTTATCATTTGGCTCTACATTCATCATTGCAAATTGAACAAAAGCCTTCACCCCATCTCGATACTGGGAACTCATCCTATTCTTAAGTAACATCCAACTCTTGTCCATATTTGGTCACCTACAAAGCCATGGTTATGTGAAATTCCTTTGAATTAGAGAATTACATGTCAAATAGTTCCTTGAGTCATATAAGTGTTTGTCATATCATGAATGCTCAAAACATTAGGTAAACATTGAGAAATAATAAAAAAATAATATTTTCTCTCAGAAAAGCCAAACCTTGAACCAATATGGTGAAATTAAAGAACAAAACAGCTCACAAATAGGGCCTACAAGGGTAGAATCATGAAATTCAGATTATGTTCTTGTGTGTACTTCTCTATGATGAGTATGTATATGTATTTTAATTATTTGTTTAATGGAAGTTGAAGTTTTTATAATTATTGTAATACATTTTTTTAATTTAACTATAAGTCAAATTATATGATGATCTTCCACAAAGGAAAAAAAAATTCTCTCTATTTTTACTCATGTATTGTAAATTACAATGGATGTAGAAGTAATTGTTTGGTACAGAGATATATGCAGAGATATGGATACCAACATCCTATTGGCCTTGATGGCTGTTTTTCAATTTTCGATTGCTTTTGTTTTAAAAAGTATTTTAAATAAAATTATTTAAAGTGAAACTAAACAAAACCATTCTTAATGTTAGAGTTTAAATTTCCTTATTTTAAACTAAAAAGCATACTTCACTACAAAAATGTATTAAGAATATTAAATTTTACATCTCAAACTTTGCATTCTGGTGCTTTAATAACCTAAGACTTTTGCTAATGCACCAATTAATGGCCTTTAATGTGAGGTTATTATCATTTGGTACAACAAAAGGATACCCTTTTACAGCATCACCACAAACATAGTATGCTTTCGAAATACACAATTATTATCTATACAAACAGAACTAATCAGAAAAGTGGATTTAAACTTTTTATATGCATAAAATTTGATCACAGAATAAGGCACAACTCACATATGGGGTGAGACTTACACATTTGATAGGTCTCACTGTGCACTTTGAATTTTTTATTAAAATTTAAATAGACAATGTTTAGTTAAAGCATATATAGTGTTTGGTGCAATTTATTGCATACTAAAAATAAAAACAAAAATCAAAACAGCTTTCCTAAACTTTGAAATAATCAATTTTTGTTTCAACTTATTTAAACTATGAATAATTCTACCTATACTACAAACTTACTAAAAATCTTACCAAAAATATAATAGGCCAAATGTGATTGGTTGTTAAAAAATTAATGATATTAATCATCCAATGATATTTAAACATATATGTTTTTAGTAATATTGTTAGCAAGACTTTAAATAGACGTAGCATTGCTCTTAAATTATTCTTACCTAATAAACTATAAATAGAAACTACACAAAACAGTTTAAATTGACTCTGAAAATCAACTAAAAAAAATCCACAAATCATCCAAAACATAATTCTTTTTCATTTCATAAAAAAAATTAAAAAATCAACTAAAATAGTCAAGTTGCTAAATGACGTATCTAGTCCCATTTTTTTGACAACCAGACTTATTAAATTTAATAAGGTTATATAGTTTCAAGATCATAGGTGTAGAAACTAAAATGACTAACTTGATAAATAAATTAAAAATGCCCTAAAATATAGTCAAAGCTTACTTGATGTAGTAATTGCCCCCAACGAATGATTGCAGCGTTTTTATCTCTTTGCATTAGCCAATAACCTATAACATTTGAATTGTAAATCAAAGTTTAAATTAAAATCGCACTATACATGAAATTAATGGAGAGTGGACATGAAATGAATGTTATATGATCAAATTATTAATAATACAAATAATGATCAGTTAACTTAAACTTATATTTAAATATAATAATACAGATAATGACCAGTTAACCTAAATTTATATTTAAATATATCTTTGCAATCTCATTAATTTTTAGTCTTACCATCAAATAAAAATTAAGTTAGATTGCAATTTTTACCATCAAATAAAAATTAACTTAGATTGCGATTAAAAATTAATTTTTAGTCTTACCATCAAATAAAAATCTGATGAGTCAAACAAACATCTCAAGTAATTTGTTAAAGAGGAGGTGAAAAATGAATTAGCAAAAGAATCAAATAACACACCACGTTAAAAAAGCATAAAACCCAAATGCGCTCCAAAACCTTACTTCATTGGCTAGTTCCTGCAAGATCTCTATGTCAGATGCTCACTCTGAATATTAAGAAATGCAATCTGAATATGGATCTAACAACCTCCAAAAGCAGACTTGTCTTTGATTAAAAATTATGGTAAACAATCCAACGGAAGGATATGAAAACTGGTGGCTGAGTCTCCACTAATCACCAAGAAGGAAATAACACTACCTATAGAAGCTACTCAACAGAAGGAGCTAAAAAATCTCAGTTCAAACAAAAGCATGATATAATAAACTTAACTTGAATGTGGGGCAAAGGAAGCTCAAGGGCTTGTTAAAGAAGGCGACAAGGGCCATCAAAATGAAGAAAGCAAATGACATGTTCTTAGAGGCAATTGCCACAGGATTAAAAACATAAAACAGTATTACCAAGTAAAGTTAACAGATAATAATCAGATTGGCCATATTGATAGAAAAACAATAGCGGGAAAGCAAAATGAGAAAGGATAGGTGAAAGAACACTCTTGATACACCATACGTCCGGCCTATTTTGGGAAGTAAGAAAAAAGACAACATTTTGATTTTTTCAAAAAACGTGGAAAAAAGTAGTAAAGAAGTGATGTGACCCAAATAAACCAATAAGTTAACTTTTTTTTTAATTGCCAAAATAGACTAAATGATAACCACTAGAAAATCGGCATGACTATGAAATCAAAGCAGAGCTGATCCTATCTGACATAGGCAACGTTTAAATTATAATAGAGTGGAGCGTGCTAATTTTTGTCACTAGCTTTTGGCACTTAAAAACCCCCTGGGAAATACACATTGTGAATCAGGTATAGGATTCCAAATTTTTTTAACTTATAACAATATGTTTGTAGAAAAGCAAGGATTAATAATTTACAAAATTCAGAGAGTTCAATGTTCCAACACGAAAGGTGTACAGAGTTGCAGATATTTCTCAAGGCTTCAGGTCCATATTTTTCGAGGATTTCAACTTTTTGGCGTAACTTAGAAAGACAAGAAAATATGGTCTAACAATTAGATGGAATTCAAAAACCAATACAAACATAGAAAATGAAATCAACATGAACCAAAATAAAACAGAATTATGTACAAAAAATGGTTGAGTCATCTAACAGTAGTCTCTTGCCTAAAATTCAAAGTGAAATCTGATCGAAATTGATCAGAAAATTTCCGAGCAGAGCAATGCAAACAGTCAGTTGATCTAACGTGAGAGAGAGAGAGAGAGTACAAACACAGAAAATGAAATCAACATGAACCAAAATAAAACAAAATTATGTACAAAAAATGGTTGAGTCATCTAACAGTAGTCTCTTGCCTAAAATTCAAAGTGAAATCTGATCGAAATTGATCAGAAAATTTCCGAGCAGAGCAATGCAAACAGTCAGTTGATCTAACGTGAGAGAGAGAGAGAGAGAGAGAGAAGAAGAAGAAAAAGAATTGGAAGCGAAGAATGAAGGACTGTTGCCGGTGGTGTTGTGTGAAACGTGAGAGACACCAAGAGTCAGTAGATCGTGAGAGAGAGACTCAGTCACGAAACTACTATACCCTCCTGAACCAGATGATCAATACCCAAAATTATAATATCAGTCCCCAAAAAATACAAAATCAGAATATCAGTCCCAAAATCCAAAAATCAGTTCCAACATCAGTCTGAAATTCAGAGTATACCAGTCCCGAAAATCAATTCCAAAATCAGTCCAAAAATTAGAATATATCAGACCCGAAAATCACAATATCAGTCCGAAAATCATAATATCAGTCCGAAAAATCATAATATCAGTCCGAAAAATTAGATTGATGACAAAGAAGAAAAAGAGGAAGATGAGAGAGTGAGGGAAAAATCAGTCCCAATATCAATGTTATGTTCTGTTCTGCAATGCCGAACAAGAGAATGAAATTGATGATAAAGAAGAAAGAGAGGAAGATGAGACAGTGAGAGAGTAAGAGTGAGAGAGAGAAGGAGAGGGAGAAGGAAAGAGACACGAAGAAGAAGGAGAGAAGACATACCTCTTTGTCTTCTGTTGTACCGCTTCATGTTGTGGAATGAGAAGACGAAGAAGACTCATTTTAGGTCAATCTTGTTTATTCACCTAAAGGTCATTAAAAAAAAATGACAGATTCAAAACGACGTCATTTTGACAAGATATTTATTGGCGACGAAAATAATTATGTTGCCATAAATATTATTCATCTTTCAGCAACTATTTTAATTCCGACGCCAAAAAGTCACAATTGGCGACAAACAGTTTCGTCGCCATATATTAATTTCGTCGCCAAAACTTTTTTAGCGCTCCCGTGCAAAAAATTAAATTGGCGCCAACCCTTTTTGGAGACCAATTGAGATATTTGTTGCTAATAGTGTATTTTTTGGCAACCAACACATATATTGTCGCTAAAAACATACAATTGGCAACTAAATTCAATTTGGTTGCTAAAAAACGTCGCCAAAAATGCTTTTGTTGTAGTGGCTCAATACCCGGTCGAGAACTCATTTCTCGATTTCAATTTCAAATCGTTTTGTGCTTGGAGTGCTTTGCCATTCTCCACATTTGTACAAAACAGGATCCTTTCTTTCATGAACTGCAGGGTTCAACCCAAGTTATGTATGAGCAATAGAACTAGGACCTATCTGAAGCTACATAGGTTCGGGACTGCAAAGCAAAAGAAAAGAGGGAAAATTTGGAGCATCTTAGTGTAGACCGCCCGGAACTCCGCTCCGCGTGCGAGGGCGCGAATTGTTGTTCTTAGCTACTACAGTTCAGACTCATGTCACGGTTCTGAATCTAATCTCACAAAGTGCAATGTAAGACTGACAAATCACCAAAGCGTTCAAATCCGGCAAATCATTTTGGAAAATCGATTTTAATCAAAAAGCGCCAAACATGGAC